TCAGTGAACTTTTAATTTAGGACGTAGCTCAAGATGAGAGATTAAAAAATAGACATGGCTAGAAATGCGCGTTTAAAAAAATGAATGCACATTTAAGGAAATGTATATATTTATTGCTTTACTTTTTCGAATGCGCATTTTGAGCTATGTCCATTTTCTTAAAAACCAATTTTGAGCTATGCCCATTTCCTTAAATACGCATTTTTAGCTAAGTCAATTATTTTAACTTGCGTATCAAGTTGTTTCTTTTCCAACACGCTTGTTTTTAGCTAAATGAGAGATTAAAAAATGGACATGGCTTTAAATGTGCGTTTAAAAAAATGAATGCACATTTAAGGAAATATATATTTAATGCTTTACTTTTTCGAATGCGGATTTTGAGCTACGTCCATTTTCTTAAAAACCAATTTTGAGCTATGCTCATTTCTTTAAATACGCATTTTTAGCTAAGTCAATTATTTCAACTTGCGATCAAGTTGTTTCTTTTCCAACACGCTTGTTATTAGCTAAATGAGAGAATAAAAAATGGACATGGCTTGAAATGTGCGTTTAAAAAAATGAATGCACATTTAAGGAAATATATATTTAAAGCTTTACTTTTTGAGCTACGTCCATTTTCTTAAAAACCAATTTTGAGCTATGCTCATTTCCTTAAATGCGCATTTTTAGCTAAGTCAATTATTTTAACTTGCGTATCAAGTTGTTTATTTTCTAACACGCTTGTTTTTAGCTAAATGAGAGATTAAAAAATGGACATGGCTTGAAATGCGCGTTTAAAAAAATGAATGCACATTTAAGGAAATATATATTTAAAGCTTTACTTTTTCGAATGCGGATTTTGAGCTACGTCCATTTTCCTAAAAACCAATTTTGAGCTATGCTCATTTCCTTAAATACGCATTTTTAGCTGAGTCAATTATTTAAACGTGTGTATCGAGCTATGTTTTTTTCCAACAAGCTTGTTTTGAGCTATGTCCATTTCTACAAATGTGTTTCAAGCTACCATCATTTTCTTAAACACGCATTTTGAACTATATCCAAAATAAAAAGTTCTCTGACGATAACTATAATTTTATTTAAGTCAATCAAAAATGCAAATTTAACATTTCGTAGGGACTGACTGGGTTTCATGTCATCAGTTGTACAATGCGCAAGAAAAAAAATAAATAAAAAAAACCCGGACCATTTTGAATAACTTTTGATTTTATGATCGGAGCTTCACGTTCTAGGACTCATTCTTAATGGTTTAAGGGGGCGACTTCGAATATGCTAATTCAAATGTGCAGATGATATTTTAAATTACGAAATCAGACACGAAACGAAGAGTCCTGAGAAATCGAATTTTTAAAATTTGATNTACAATGCGCAAGAAAAAAAATAAATAAAAAAAACCCGGACCATTTTGAATAACTTTTGATTTTATGATCGGAGCTTCACGTTCTAGGACTCATTCTTAATGGTTTAAGGGGGCGACTTCAAATATGCTAATTCAAATGTTCAGATGATATTTTAAGTTACGAAATCAGACACCAAATGAAGAGTCCTGAGAAATCGAATTTTTAAAATTCGATTTCTCAGGAACCATTCAACCGATTTTGCTCAAATCTTGTATCTTGCCATGTAAAATTATTTACTTTAAAATGACGTAAAAATTGTGTGACTTACAATTCAAAATATTTCCGACTATTATTTAATAAAATAATAAATATTTACTAAAATTTATTTTTTGCATGGAATTTTCTTTTAATAAACGAATTTTATATTTGTGTGCAAATTTTTTTTAATTCGATTAAAAAGTTCTCGAGCTATGGCGAGAAACGTAAATAGTAAAATTAGCACTAAGGGGTCCAAACTTTTGATCGCTCCCCTGACCGAACTACGGGGACCGTATTTCTCAGATTGCGGCTACCCCTTACACTTAGGAGGTTAGGAATCTGAATTCGTTGAAGAAAAGGTATGTTTATTCAGAGAAAGTACAATTTTGTATCTGATTGCGCAACTTAAATTAACGTCTGCACTGATTAATTAGCATATTTGAGGTCACCTCCTCAAACCATTAAGATTGAGTCCTAGAACAAGTAGATTCGATCATTAGATCAAAAGTTATTCAGAACGGTGCTTTTTTTTTTACGCACTGTACATTCAAATGGACATGGAAAGGGGAATACTCCTCATTGCGTCATTTATTCAAGTTTCATAGGAAAAAATGAATACTCATTTAATGATAATTTAATAACATTATAATTTAATATTATGATAAATCTGCGAAATAAATACCAGCTCACAAATTTATCATTAAAAAAATGGCAAGGGTATACAGGGTGTTCTGTAAAGACTGCCCTTAACATATATATATTTTTTAGAATTTTTACAAAAAATTAAAAACAAAAGGCATGCTCATTAATATTTTACCTAGGCTGAAACAAAATAAATATAAATAATAAAATGACAGGAGATACAAGTATAATAAACAACAAAACAGGTTTGATTGCGAAAAGAAACAAAAAGGAGTTGAAAGACGATTGTTAAAAACATCCAGTTTTTGCCTCCAATTATATTTGCTATCTCCACTGTAGTAAGCCAGGTTTCGATAGCATCTTTCGTTTTCCTCGGTTATATACTAATTTGTGACCCTTAATGTGTTACTTTGTTTTCGTTTTTGATAAGGATTCTAAAAATATGCACATGTTAAGGGTGGTCTTTACGAAACACCCTGTATAGTGATCTGACTGCTGATGTGTTTTCTTTGGTAACTAAACAAAAAGTGCACGTGTGTTTAGGTCGATTAGCACCAATCAGATCACAGAAAGCACATGATGGTGCATTCGAGGAGCGGTGTTTCCATAATGTACGTCTTCCTTGTCCCCGAATTTCAAGTTAGAATGGTGCAATAATGAACATTCCTATTTGCATAACATTCCAAATATGTACTTATGATACCTGACAATTTCAGATTTTGTTTATTATCAGAAAAAATAAAACAGTTGTCTCGATTTATCGTCTTTTCGAGTTTTCAAAGGCGCAACACTCAAATCAAATATATATTGCTTTAATTGCTTTATAAGAAAACTACAGCTGTTTTACAAATTTTAGTGAGACTTCTTTTAAGAAGTTTAAGGAGGGGGGGGGGGAACTGGNNNNTTTAAGGGGGGGGGGGGGGGAACTGGTTCATCCCCTTAATGGATGTTGCTTAAAGAACTATCTAAGAGACTTTTAACTGTTGTTATAAACTTAAAACTTCTTTCTGCGATTTGAATTTTTTTCGCAAAAAACTTTTTTGAGTAGAATATAGAGAAGAAGTTAAGCATGGTATTTAGAAATATATTCTTCCAATTCAGAAAAAGTCTAGGGCATAAGACATGCAATTCGAAAAAAGAAGAAAATTCGCGTCAGTTAAATTATAGTTCAGTTATTACCGAGATAATTTATTTTTGGTTGTAAAAAAATTCAAGAAAACTTTGGTCTTTCTCAATATTTTTTTTAAAAAATTGCTTTATATTAATCGTTTTATGACGATATAGCAAAACTGAAACTCACTATTTCATCTTCAAGTGCCATAGAACAAGGAAAAAAGAAAAAAGAAGACAGACCTGCAAATTCAGTTCAGTAAGCTATCTATTAGTCTAAATAAAAACAAATGTCATTTTTTCATTAATTGTTTTACAAATTAAATTTCTTAATTTAGTTTATACTAATTGTTTAGATTAAATAAGTAACTTCAGAAACTATTCAGCACTTGAAGATTATAAATTACGGAAATTTAACCTTTAAATTTTATCGATGAGCTTTAAACTTCTAATAAGAAACTAAAATTAAACTAATAATTAGAAACTTATAAGTTATCATGCCTAAATATTAAGTAAATTAAATATATTTTTTTCATACAAAATTTAGAGAAGTGTAGTCATTTATTGTTTCAACTTTAATTTTCAAACCTCTAATTATAATTTAGAAGTCAATGTAGCTATAGTGTTTGAAAAATTCTAATAGGCTAGCTCTTAAAAACTTAAAGTGTTAACTTTAGAAAATCTTCATATCATTGCATATGTATTACAATTATTTTTTACTTTCTAAATTTCATATTTAATAAAGTCTTACAATATCATTTTAAATTAGTGAGAAATCCATTAAAACTGAGTTAGTACAGTGGAAAAAATGGGTACTATTAATTTCATAATTCTAATCATCAGTTTAAATCAAGATACGAATCACTTGTTTCAAATCATTTGATTCAATAACCCAATTGAATCACTGTTTTTTTTTCTTTTTATCTAAACCATTAATTACTGTAAGATAAGTTTTTTTTTTTAAGACAAAAAAAACTTAAAATGACATATCTAATAAATGTTAAGCCATAATGCTTGCTCATAATATTTGTAGATATAAAATTGGCGATACAGTTTTATTTACCGTGTTCGCATTTCATTCGAAATGCATTATTTACTAACTATTGTAGATAGAGCCTTGTTTTAATAAATGTTCATTTTCAGTTATAAGTGGTGATATATTTCTGTATCTTTAAGTAATATTTATCATAACAGTAATTAAACATTTTTAGAAAAAGAAAACGAATAGCTATCAGAAATTTTAATATACACAGGGTGTTTCTTAATCACTACTCTAAACACATATTTTTAGAATTCTTTTCAAAAAAAAAAATATATATATATACACATTAAAGAGTAACTTAATATTTCAGCGAGAGAAAAAACAGAAACATTATCCAAATCTTAAGAACTATTAAACCCGTAGAAGGAGGTGGAAATTGAGAGGCACTTGAAGACAATTAAATTGGTTTAAATGCTTTTAATCCCACCTTCCTTCGTCAGGTTTGGATAAAGTTTATGATTTTTTCCTCGCTTAAATAACTTAATATAAACTTGCGAATATTTTTGAGAAGGATGTTAAAAATATGTATTAAAGGCGGTGTTTGCGGAACACCCAGTATACAAAAAAATTGAAACAATGGACAAATGTGCAAGAGTTTTTCTCCAATTTACCTCTCAAGCATAATTGGAAATGAATGAAGAGACATACAATTCACCCTCCATTCTAGATTACCATGTTCATTGCAAATGCCTATACTAAAACGACCATAGTTTGCTCGGATCAAATGTATGAGTCCTTCTTCGCAAACCATGTTCAGTGTTCTTCCTTCACAAGTATATATGGTCCTGTATCCGGAAGGCTCTGTAAAAAAAAATAATTAATGCAATTAATTGATATGAAAAATTATAAATTGAAAATTTTATTTCAATTTTAATAATTGAATGATTAATAATAATTGAATTGAAAATTTAATTTTAATAAAAATAGAAGTAGCAGAATCTCATTAAATTCTGATGAATCATTATTGAGGAAGGAGTGTTTAAAAACCTCAAAAACAGTTTGTTTGCTTGATGAAACTCGAAGACACTTTTAACAGTTACCATTTGTCTTCTCTTAGTTTCTTCCGGCAATAAAATAGGTTTTGATATTTATTTCTTCCTCGTTAAGGTTTCGTCAAATTTTGATAACGTTTTAAATCATTAATTGGCGTCTCCTGTTGTGTCAATTTTTTAACATTATTTTTGACAAATATGTTTTATAACCGTCGTTGAACAGCCGACACAATTTTTTGGGTTTACGACTTCTAATGTTCAACTCCTTAGCCGTATAATTTTGAACCCAATCCAAAAGACAAGGGGTTTACTGGATCGAGTATTGGGAAAAATTTTCCCTCGTGGAGGACTTTTTGATGGAACTAACCCGCATTTACGTTACACGGAGAGGAAAACCAGGAGAACCCCCCCCCACGGTTAGCCTGACGGCAAGGGGACTCTAACTCATGATCCGTTTACCACTGAGGATATTTCACGTCAGCACTGTGGTCGGTGCAAGCCGGATGCGGAATTCGTATCGACTGGGATTTGAACACGGCTCGCCTCATTGGAAGGCAAACGCTCTATCCCCTGAGCCATCACGGTTCTTCTTCACACTGATGTCGTCATCAGAATCAGCATGAAGAACGGCTAAAGGTTAAACTTGACCTAACAGTCCTATATCGCTGTTGCAATATCACAGCAGTTATAAAAGTATTATATATTATACGCAAAAAAACATTAGCTCATGCAATTATAGTCAATAAAAAACTGTCTTAAAATAAACGAACAATTTTTAGTTTCTGCATACTTATATAAGCCCAAATAATACAACGTTGGAGTAACTTTTCAAGTGATAAATAAATATTAAATTCAAATATTAAATATCAGTATCAATTATATAACTATTCAAATATTAAATATCAACATCGAATATTAAAAAGTCAGATCACAAAAGCTTTTTAATTTTCAAACAGCTGTGGTTTTTCTCACATTGGTGCCGTTAACAGAATCAGCATAAAGGGTAATAGCAGACAGGCTTAACTTGACCTAGCAGTCATAAATAACTGTTGCAAACTCACAGTAGTTATGAAAATAACATTTGATTCCTCAAAAAAGCGTTAATTCATGCAACCACAGAGTCTTTGGAAAACTGCCTTAAAATTAATGAACAATTTTCAGTTTCTGCATACTTTTAGGATTCCAAATGATGTGATATAATAATGACTTTTCAAATATTAATAAGTTACGTTTGAATCTATCTTTAGCCATTCTTCATATCGCTTCTGATAACGACACCTATGTGAAGAAAAGTCACAGTTTTTTGAAAATTAAAAGCGTTTGTAATCTAAATTTTTAATAATTGAATAGTTACTCCAACATTGTATTGTTTGGGCTTTATGCTAGAATTGAAAAAAGACCTCCATCAGCACCAGCTTGCAATTTTAAGTTAAATTTTTGATTTTCGTTTTCTTGATGTTTTATTGTAATGAAAGACGTTTTATGATATTGTATTATTCGGCAGCACAATATCTTTAAAAAAAAAGGGGGGAATAAAGGGGTCCTTTTTTAGATTAAGTGAAATAGACTTAGATACTTTGTAGAACTTTTATGAAATATGCCTCAAAACTTTAGGGTAATTATGTGTTTTGGTTTTGAATAAATAATTTAAAACATAAAAAATTAATTTTAGTTTAAAACTGGAAACACTTCTACCACTGAGAATATTTTACGCCAGCAGTATGGTCGGCTCCTCATTTTTGCACAGTTGTTGCTTTCCATCATATTAATTATTAAATCGCGCCCTTTTTATAATTAGCACAGAGAGCGTTGGCTAACGAGGGACTAAACTTACCCTAAAAGTCATAAAACGAGTGTTACAAACTAGCAACAGTAATAAAATTAGCTAAATAATAATATTAAGTAAAAAGTCTTATTTCATATGGCGGTTGAGCCTTTGAAGAAAAGCCTTAATTCTTGTTATGCAAAAAACTTTGCACTTGCGATTAGTGCAAACAACTTTGCACTAATCGTTATCATCAGAAATAATTGTCAAATTAAGGCTTTTTTCTTTTTCGTATCGAACTATACTTTTAAACTAAAAACTAAACTCAGTAGCGTGACAGCCCATAGAGGGCCAAGGCCTACTGTGCTCATCTCAGTTTCCTTGACCTTAAGCTCTGGGGTGCAGGAGAAGATGTTCCGGTTAGGTGGTCAGGAGAAGATCTTCCGGTTAGGCCCAGTGTTTAGCTCCCAAGCATGCTTGGTACTGTAAATCCCAAACGCAAAACAGTGAATAATTCGAATGATTCAATATAACAGCCGTGGTGGTTCACGCTCGGCTCCTAATGAGGTGACCCTGGTTCGAATCCCAGCGATGGCTGTGATTCGAAATCCACCCCGCGGCTCGCACCACAGTGCTGACGTAAAATATCCTCAGTGGTAGACAGATCATGGGTTAGAGTCCCTTTGCCGTGAGGTTAACCGCGGTAGGCTTTCGTGGTTTTCTTCTTCATGTAACGCGAATGCGAGTCAGTTCCATCAAATCAAAAAGTTCTCCACGAAGGCAAATTTCCTCCAATACCTTGATCCAGGAGTTCTCTTTTCTTCCGGATTGGGTTCAAAATTATAAGGAAAAGTAGTTGAACATTGGTAGTCGTCGACTCAAAATTGGGTCGGCTGTTCAACGATTGTTATAAAATAAAATGATACAATATAAGATTTATAATCTTATATATAAGAAATATTTTAGTAATTTTTAGATATAGTAATGAATGAATTTTTTTAAGGATTAAATTTTCATTTGTGTGAAGCTCATTGTTTGATTTTCCTTTAAAAATTCTTTGTATAGAAATAAATGAAATATAAAATCAATAATACACAATAAAAGTTAAAAAATTAATATTTTCCAAATTTGAACAATTTCCTATTGTTTTAAAAAGTGAAATTTTTGTTTTCCTAGTAGAAAATAGTTGTAAGTGTATTTTTAGTTCTGAAATATATTAAAACCTTCGAAACGCTCATATATAAAAAACCTTTTGCGGTTTTAAAAAAAGTAGGAAAATTTCTGCAATTAAAACTAATAAATGAAGAAGGTATGTGTATTCCTTAACGCTATGTTTATATTTATAATACATATTATGTATTGTAAACTTCAAAACATATTTAAGATTTTTATAGTTTTCAACATATACTGCTTTTTTTTTTAAAGAAAAAAAAAACATGTTGACAATATGAAAAAGAAAACTTTTTTGTAAAACTGTTGTGTTAAGCATTGAAAATAAATTTTTTTATTTTTATTTTTATATTGTATATTTTTGACTCAGTAAGAAGAAAAAAAAAAGTACAAGTACAGTACAGCAATAATACAGTAGATCAAATTTCAGTAATTTATCTGAAATCATGTTTAATATTTTTTAAAAAAAAGAAGCAAACGCAAAAAAAAGTTAAATTATTGGAAATACATTTCACAGTATAAAAATTTTTTTTGTACTTTTTCACGAATATTTTTTTAAACATTTATTGATGTAAAAGAAAAAAGTTATTGTCGTTTAATTAAATAATTCATAGAACTAATGATAATTATTTTTCTTAATTGTTAGGGAATTTATAGTTATTTCAGTAACTTAAGTGATGGAAAAAAAAGGAAAGAAAACACACACACACACACAGATACAACGGATATTTAAGTATTGTTCAAAATTTTCCTTTTCCTTCTAAGGATAAAAAATATTTTTTTTCTTTTTCCACACAAGAAAAAGCTTACTATTTTTTTTTTTTAAAGAAAGTTTTTTTTATGCATTTCAGATAATTAAAATATTCCATTATGCTGTTTATTGAACTAGTTTGGAAAAAATCATAATTATTCCATTTTAATTCCCACATTTGGTCTTATTATTTCTTTTGATTATTTTTTTCTTTTTTAATGGTTATATTGATATTTTAATTTAATTAACTTGTTTCTTTTTTGGTGATGAAGATGAAAATATAATTGTAGAAGTTGAAAAAAGCATGACGTGTTTATTTAAAACTAGTCCAAGATATAGTAGAATGACATGACAGTTAAGTATTGCAGGAAATAATAATTAAAAAAAATATTAATTTTAACGAAAAAAAGTTGTACTCATTTTGAATTGTTATTTCTTTGCCACTATTTAACCGATTAAATGGTCTGTTTGCTTGTTTTGTTCATTTACGTCGCGTTAGAGCTGCACAATGGGCTATTGGCGACGGTCTGGGAAATATCCCTGAGGATGATCCGAAGACATGCCATCACAAATTTGATCCTCCGCAGAGGGGATGGTATCCCCCGCTTCGGTAGCTCAACGACCTACACAAAAGTCGAGCACTTTGCGGTAGAACAGTTTAACGAGGACCAATACCGCACACCCTCGGTCCCTACGCAGACTGATCCAAGTGGTCACCCACCCGCACACTGACCGCAGCCAGTGATGCTGGACTTCGATGATCTGCTGGGAATCGTGTCTTAACGATCAGTCCACTGCGGGACCAATTTATTTCTAAAATTTAGTTTTAGGTCTATTTAGGTATTTTTGGTTTTGTTTTCTATTTCCCTATTTTTGTTTTTAAAAGGAATGTAATAAAAACAAGTCCAACACTCAGTAGAACAACGTAATAGCTAAGTATTGCAGGAAATAGCAATTTGGAAAAATATTATTTTTTTAACGAAAAACAAAAAGTTGTACTCTTTTTGAATTTTAATTCTTGGACAATACACCAATTTATTTCCTATATTTGGTCTTAAGTTTATTCAGGCATGTTTGGTTTTCTATTTCCCACATTTATTACTAAAAAGAATATTACAAAAAACTAGTCCTAGAAATAGTTGAAAAACATAACAATTTGTATTAGTATTTGTAATTGTATTGCAAGAAATAACAATTAGGAAAAAGTTTTATTTTTAACGAAAATAAAATTGTACTCTTTTTAAATTCCCATTTCTTGAACACTATTCCCCACCAAACAAAACAACCTAACTATTTCCCATATTTGGTTTTAGGTTTATTTAGGTATTTTTGGTTTTAGTTTTTATTTTAAATATTGAGTTTTTAAAACGAACATGAAAATTAGTCCAAAACATAGTAGAATACAGTAACTGCAAGAAATAGCAACGGAAAAAAAACAAAAAAAAAACGACTATTTTAACGAAATTTTTTTTCCATTCTTATTGAATTGTTCAATTGTTATTTTTTGGATACTATTGAACCGATTTATTTCAAATTTTAAATATGATGGATTAATTACGCAGTTTAACAGAATTTTTGGTATCAATTTTTATTTTAAATCTTGAGTTTTTAAAACGAACAGGAAAACTAGTCCAAAACATAGTAGAATACAGTAATTGCAAGAAATAGCAACGAATAAAAAAACGACGATTTTAACGAAATTTTTTTAAAAATTCTTTTTGAATTGTTCAATTGTTATTTCTTGAATACTATTGAACCGATTTATTTCAAATTTTAAATATGTTAGATTAATTATGCAGTTTAACAGAATTGTTGGTTTTAATTTTTATTTTAAGTATTGAGTTTTTAAAACGAACATGAAAACTAGTCCAAAACATAGTAGAATACAGTAATTGCAAGAAATAGCATCGTAAAGAAACGACGATTTTAACGAAAAAAATTTTTTGTATTCTTTTTGAATTGTTCAATTGTTATTTCTCGTATACTATTGAACCGATTTATTTTAAATTTCAAATATGTTGGATTAATTACGCAGTTTAACAGAAAAATGTCGGTATACTGTAGTTTAAAACCACCAACGAAATCAAATATGAAACAATTTAAATAATGTAAATAAAAATGATTTAAAAAATAAAAACAAAATAAATGGTGGATTACCTTTTGTGACTAATGGAGCCTTCAGTGTTACATTTCGATATAAAACTAAAAAGAATGTTACAAAAATAATATAAATAAATAAATCATGCAAAATAAAATGAGAGAATGGCTTCCAAAAAGAAAAAATAATAATAAATAAATATAATATATAATAAAAATAATAATAAGCAAAAATAATAAAAGTATAATAAACAAAGAGAAAAAAAAAATAAAATAAAAATTTTGGAATATTTGTTGCAAATAAACACCGAACAATAAAATATTATAAGTAAAAAAAAGTAAGTATAATAAAGGTGTCTTTATTAATATATAATTGTAATATAATAATTGAAGTTGTTTAATTCCAGGAACGAAAAATATAAAGTATTTTTAATCGATTACTTATTTTTTAATATTTAACGACTATAAAATTGTAAAAGTGGTATGAATTTATTCCATAAAAAAAAGTTAAAAATATTTAAACTTATTTTATAAATATTAATAGATTTATTCTTAATGTATTTTGATAATTTATTTTTCATAAAAATAATAAACTTATAATTATTTATTAGAGTTGATTAAAACCACTCAGTAAGAAAATTTAACGAGAATAAGTTGCTCCCTCTGATCATAGATGGCGCAACTGAAGCTTTAAATTTCATTTTGGTTTCGGATGTTATTTCAGTTAGCCGCGCAATCATGTTTCCAGAAAGTGAAAAAAAAAGTAATGAAAATGTCCACTAAATATTTGTCAGCCCATTACTAAATTTAATAGTTATTAATTAAATGCAACAGGAAGATTGATAAAAAATTGTGCTAATTTAAACCTATTATTAATGGTTTAAATTCGATATAAAATCAGAAAGGAAACATATTTCGATATTGATAGCAANAAAAAAAAAAAAAAAAAAAAAAAAAAAAAAAAAAAAAAAAAAAAAAAAAAAAAAAAAACAGTACAATTTAACTACTAATATCGAAGATAAATAAGTCATAAGTTATAATTTAGTATAATATATCATATATAATAAAAATTTACAGAAGCTTTGGGAAAAGTACGTTATTAATTTAACATTAAATTAAATTTGGGAGAATAACTTAAAGTCCATATTAAATCAAATGTGTAATATATTTCGATTATATTAGTAATTTATATTAGTAATATTATTCCGTACATAATGAAAAAAACACCTAAGGTTGTCATGGTATAATCAAGTTATTATTTAACATTAAAATTACGAAAATATGGAAGGATGTTATTAAGTTGATATTAAATCGAATCTGCATTATATTTCGATACTGATATTGCAGAGAAGTCCTGAGTTATAGCAATAATTATTTAGAATAATATTTTATACTCGGAGAAAATAAAAAGTTAAAATAGTTTACTCAAATTTGATAATAACTCAGATTTAATGACTGTTTTAATGAAAAATTGTTTTAAAAAAATGTTCAATAATAATAATAATGTAACAATGGATCTTTTGATATTAAAATGTTCGTTTCATTTTTAAAAAATAATATAATATTAAAATGAAATATAACAATATTAAAAAAATATATATTCAAAAAATATATATATATATATAATAATGTTAAAAAAATAAATTTTAAAAGTAATTTACGAATTCGACTGCAGCTTTTCCTTTAATTAATTTTAATCTGATAAAAACCTCACTGATTTGATACCAAATAAAAATTTTTATTTTATAATATTTATGAATAAAATATGAAATACGAAACTCAGATTAGGTGATTGTCTTAATATAAATATTGTTAAAAAAAGAAAGCGAAATAGAAAGAAAATGTTAAGCGGAACTTTTGATAAATTAAATTGTTATTTCAATTTTTTAAAAATATAATAATATTAAAAGGTAAATTAAAAAAGTTATTTATATATTGTTCTGGCTCTTTTCTTTTAGTTTATTTTAATCCGATTAAAAACCTCACCAACTTGATAACAAAGAATGATTTTGTTTATATATTATTTGCAAATAAAATTTGAAGCGTGAAACTCAGATTGGATGATTTTTATAACAAAATATTGTTAAAAAAAGAAAGGGTAAAAGAAAAAAAAAAAGCTTTATAAGTAGAGTATTATCTGCCATTAGATGCCGCTGCCACGTCTGGGTAACCAGAACAATAATTTCTTAACAGTTGGGGCTCTGAGTTATTGTTTTACCCCAAATATGGGGATAAGGAATGAATATCCGTTCGGAAGCAATCAACTTCCGATGATCTTCGGGGTTGTGGTTTCATATTAAGAGCTGGACATTTTTATAACTTTGGTAGTTTTTCATGGAAATTATGTTGGATAATGCAAAAATGTAAGATCTGAAAAATTTGAAAATCTTATCGTTTTATTTATATTTGAATATATTGGTGAAAAAAAAAATTTATAATTTAATATTTTTTTGTTGCTAATTTATAAAAAAAAGTTGGGGGAATTTTTGGTTTGATTGCTAAATAATTACCGGCTTAAATATAAAAAATTAACTTACCTCCTTATTTGTTTTTAAAAGTAATGCATAAAAAATATTTTTAAACAATAGTATAAGGTACGTTTAAACTGGAAGTACTATGAAAATTGTTAAAAATGATTATTGAATGGAAACAATTAAATGATGTATTTTAAGTAAAAGATACATTGAGCAATATAGAAAATATTCTAATGATTCTAATGTGTGTCAAAAGATATAGTGTAAGTAACATCAAATATTATTATAGAACCGTTCCATAATTGAGTAAATTTCATAATATAATCTCATAAAATATAAATTTATATTTCAAATTTAAGAAACCATCAATGCTTAAATAAGGTACGTTTAAACTAGAAGTGCTTAAAAAATTGCTAAAAATGATTGTTGAATGGAAACAATTAAATGAAGTATTTTAAGCAAGTAAATTTATTGTAAAGAGATATATTGTAAAATATATAAAAAGATGTATAGATTATCAGACGACATATTGTAAGTAACATCAAATATTATTATAGAGTTGGTCAAATATTGTGTAAATTTTATGATATAAACTCATGAAATATATATTTTAGCGCCAGTTATATTTCAAATTTGAGAAACCATCAATGCTTAAATAAGGTACGTTTAAACTGGAAGTGCTTAAAAAATTGATAAAAATGATTGTTGAATGGAAACAATTAAATTAAGTATTTTAAGCAAGTAAATTTATTGTAAAAAGATATATTGTAAAATATATAAAAAGATGTATAGATTATCAGACGACATATTGTAAGTAACATCAAATATTATTATAGAGCTGGTCAAATATTGAGTAAATTTTATGATATAAACTCATGAAATATATATCTTAGCACAAATTATATTTAAAATTTAGGAAGCTATTAATGCTTAAATTAGGTACGTTTAAACTGGAAGTGTTATGAAAATTGTTAAAAATGATTGTTGAATGGAAATAATTAAAATATATATTGTAAGTAAATTCATTGTAAAATGATGTATTGTAAATATATAAAAAGGTGCATAGATTACCAACCGACACATTGTTACGAAATATATATTTTAGTACAAATTATATTTCAAATTTAAGAAACCATTTATGCCTAAATAGGGTTCGACTTAACTGGAAGGGCTATAAAAATTGTTGAAAATGATTGTTGAATGGAAACAATTAAATACTCATCATTCTATCTCTTAAATAAAAGCTAAACTCAAAACGGTATTTCAACACCGTAAGCCATTAAAGAAAATTGGAAAAAAGACCCTCAGTTCACGAGTTTTTTCAGTTTTTTATCGATAGTGTTCGAAAAAATTCAACCACGTTACTTTTTCCGCTTTTATTCTCAATAATCATCTCAATTAGATAGACGGAAAGGGAACAAAAAGTGGCGAACGGTCGAAGATTTATAAATTAAGATTTTATCTTATATCAACGAAGATTACATATATTTCGATGACAAAGCTTTAGTTTAAGATATAAATCGTTGATCTAAAAATAGTTTGTTTGAAATTTTGCAAATTTAATTATGTCTTACGGTGTTGGGAAAGTTTTTCGAACAATATTTTGTGAATTTGTTTAGTTCCTTTATAATGGCATAACGTTTATTTGAAATATTTTGAATAACTTGACTTTTGTCACGCTATTGTGCAATTTACATTTGACATAAAAGCCATTCTTCATTATGATTGTTTCTATTGAGTTTGAAAGTAGTCATTATAAAGCAATAATAATAGTAATTTAAGATTAGATTTTGTTACTTCATTAAATATAATGAATACTCAGCAATTTATTATTTTCTTAAAAAAAAAAAAAACTTAGGAAGAACATTAAAAGAATAAATGGAATTTTTTTTTTATGTTTAACATTTTAAATTAAGTTTTGAGCTCAACAGTTTTAAAATGCTTTGCTGTTTCGACGAAAAATTTGTATTATGACAAATTTAGAATACAAATTATGATTCGTAACTTAAATTAGTCATAATACTGCTTTTTAAAGATCTATAATAGATTTTAAAATGGCTTTACTTGAGTTCTTAAAGCTCGCTTGATCTAAATAATAATGTTATAATTATTATAATGCTGAAACTGTTATAATTTTCATTCTAAATTTACTGTTTAAAAAACGGCAGCAATCTGTTCATCTAATTAACCGTAAAGTTTACGGTAAAGAACATTTTTACCTTTACGGTTTTGAAACCGTTTACAACTAGTATGTTTAAAAAAACCATGCTATATGCGGTTTTTAAACCATTTTCAACTAGAATGGTTTTAAACTGTAAAGAAATTTAGCTGGACATTGGCTTTCCGTTAAGCAATGGCATTGGAGTCAGGTTGTGGTTGAGTATATCAAATGAACAGTGGAATGTGGTTTAATTACTTTATCTGGTTGTTTCACCCAACGTAAGAGATGGGAAATACTAGACTTTTTTGTGTTAAATAGCTTTATGATGTTGCCATTTCTGTGTGAATGAGAATATCGCATTCTAATATTCCAGGATCACAAACTGGGGAGCGCTGAACATTGGAAACTCTTCTTGTGTTGAAGCCACTTTTTTCCGCAGCGAATAGTTACCATCTTTTATACGGTTATTT